AACAAAACAACCAGCAAATTGAAGTAGGTGCTCATCAGTTATGTGGAGGATGGATCGTGGTCTGAGGAGAGCCTGGAGCCTAGAGAAGATGAGTGTGGTCAGAGTTAAGTGGAGAGAAGATTGTAGCCAAAACTGAGGCTGTGCTAGTTGTCCCTAAGAAGTGGGTGTTTCCAGGAGGGAGGAGGAAGGTGAGACACTTTTCAGGGTTCTGGCTCAGGGCTCCTGGAAGCTTCCAGCAGAACAGCAGGTGATGGGGAACAGTGGATTGAGGTCATCCGCGGAATCTGTGGGAATCTCTACCTCAGACACTGGGGGGTGGCAAGGTCCATCATAACTGTGTCCTGGGAAAAGCTATGCTTCAGGGAGAAGCGAAGACTCTGAAGGGAATAGGCCCAGGGTACAACCTTTGCACATTATTAAAGCTTTCTCTGCTTGGAAGGAGGGGCTTAGTTATCTAGTGGCATAATAGCAGAAATACCACAAATGGGTGGCTTTCATAAATAGAAACTTATGTCCTCATAATTTAGAAGACTAGGGAAAGGTTTCAAATCGAAGCCAAGAACCATGCAGAAGTAGAAACCTTTCTCAAGGTTTATTGCGCCCTGGACTACTCGGCAAGGGGAGGAGCACTGGGGGTTGTGCTTAGGGGGTTTATATGAAGTTCTAGCAAGTGTATTTTAAGGGGTTGTGAGAGGAGTTGACGTTGTAGTAGCTCATTTGTGCATAAAGTTTCTGGTTTTGGAAAAGGTCCTAATATGGGTATTTCTGAGTTCTGGTTCTGGGGAGTGTTCTGACAAAGGATTTTCGGAATTCTGGTTCGGAAAATGTCCTGATAGAGAATTTTCCGAGTTTTGGTTTTGAAAAATGTTGTGACAAAGGGATTTCTGAGTTGAGTTTCAACTTCCATTTTGATTTTTAGCCTAACAACTAGAAGCTTGAATTTGGATTTCGGTTTTAGGGAAGGCTTTTCCTCTGTCTCAGCTCTGGAAGACCAAGGTCTCTTTTTATCTTTTGTTCGTGGAGATCATCAGATGACTTAGCATCTCTCTTCCTCCATCTCTGCTCTGCTGACATGTTTAATCTCTTTACTATCTCAAAAGTGTTTAAGCCAACGCTAGTCTTGGGGGACAAGAGGATCAATGGATAATGACATAGTCCACAGGACAATGGCCTATGCCCTGCATTGGTGGGTGGTGACCAGGGACTTAAAGGCTAATAAATGGCCATTTAAGGGGCAACCTTTGGTTCGAAGCATGGAAGAGTGAAGAAAATCCTAGATGTTTAGAAACAATGAATCCATAGCATCAATGGGCCTCATGATCTTCAACATCTATGGTACTGGGACCAGAAGAACTAGGTTCTGTACCACTCATTGCTCTGAAAGGGATCAAGATAGAAAGTCTTGGGCGATAAAGGCTGAAGAAAACACAGTATCACAATGACGACCAGGCTTATGGGGGTCAGTGAGACCCCTGAGACTGTGACCTTTAGCTGCCTTTGTGGTACAGCTTACAAACAAACAATAGACAGTGATATAAGGCAAAGACACTGCCAGAGAGATGTTGTTATGTGCCGTCGAGTCGCCTGAGACTCATAGCGACCCTGTGTACAACAGCCCTAAACTCCGCTCTGTCCTGTGCCAATCACACTGTCTCTGACACTCCCATCCCAATGATCCCAGTCACTGAATCAGTCCACCTCATAGAGGGCCTTCCTCTCCTGTGCTGTCCCTACACCCTCCCAAGCATGATGTCCCTCTCCAAGGACCGGTCTCTTCTCACTACATGTCCAAAGTAAGTTAGACGGAGCCTCAGAATCCTTGCCTCCAAGGAGCCACC